AGAGTATTTGAAAAAGCGACTCCAGACACCTACATGGGTAAATGATTCTTCAAAAGAGGGCAAACAGAGGGGAGTGAGATTCTAGTGCGCTCGAAGCATTTTCACCAGCATTATTTGCTCCTGGGGATAAGCCTCTGAGTCTTTGGCCATGGAACGCTGTCGAAGCTGTATGACGTCTTGGGTCTTCCAGACTCAGAGAGCCTTTCCCAATTAGCTGCTCGAGGGATACGAAAAATTGAAAAGTTGCACAGCTGTTTATAGCGGACGCAAATCCCGTGGGCGTTCTCCAGTGCGATTGGAGACAGTTTCGTTTTGATGAACCGGAAGGGAAGTGATAGAGCTGCCCCCACTACTGATATCAAATTCTTCCCTCTGAGTTACATATTCTTGAGTGGTACGCGCTCCGAAGGAAAAGGGTTTTGACCTTCTTTGTACGAACCTGTTGCCTAACGGGTGCCAATCGTGAGTAGATGAGCCTCCACAGAGGAACACCGTCGTCTTCGTTCACGTCCAAGACAGGACACCATCGTTGATGACGCTTAACTGGGTCGAAAACGATATCGCTGAAAATAATTGTTGTGAATGGCAGTGAAGTGGAATCACGAACATCTTCAAAACAATAACTAACCCAAGAACAAAATCTCTTGCGCAGTAGTCGCACACGGCTACGAAATGTTCTTTTCCTGCCAATTTCTCAGTCTCCACAGACCAACCTAGGGACGATGCTATCAAAGCTTCATGTGATAATGGACTCTCCGTTTCCGCCTCGCTTCGACTTACATCGTCTGGGATACTCTGAAAAGATAGCTCTCAGAGATTTCCCTGATACGTCAACGAAAACGGTCTCCGCGATCACCTGTCTACAAACCGTAAGATGAAAGCTAAAGTCATTTTCACCGAGAGAACTGTCTCTAAAGATGAAAACACTTGAAAATAGCAGCCAGGCCCTTAATCTACCATCCTAGCGTCCCTAATAAATGTAACAAAAGTGCAGTGTGGATATATCATAAGAAAGGTTAACGGCAATCTTAGTGCAGCGTGGGGGGAGCATTGAGCTTGCTAATTTCTTCATATTTCTCTTTTTGGTAAGCGCCGTGAGCTGTCATGAGCTCTTGAAATGGCATGAGCTTCAGTTAGCTTCACAAGAATTTACAAGTTTCCTCATTAAAGGCAGTTGGCACGATAAATCCTCCAAGACGAGCAGGACTAATACGCCTGGCAGGACGGAATTCCGCGACCCTGAGCAGGCGCTGCAATGCCTTTTCCAGGGAAGGTGCCCTTATAAGGGCCTATC